ACCAATATTTTAGATTATATTTTGTTTTTGATTCTGCGAAGAATCTGAAGCTGCCAAAAATGTAATGTCAAAAGTGCAACATGTATAAATATAAAAAATCATATTACTGTCAGTTAGCTTGTGATCTGTTTTCAATTATAATCAGAGTATAAAGTAGAACCTCAGATCTGTACTGAAAAGTACTTGGATAATATACTTACAGTACATACTCGTCACCACTTAACGTAATAAAAAGTTTATAAAAGTACCTGAACTCATTTTTGGAGTTTCAAAGATGGAGGATAATTTGATGCTCATCCTGGTAAAGTTGTAAACTTTTTGTCTCCTGCAGTTAATGAAGCTGTCTGATTTCTCTGTCGGCTCCTTTAGTACCACGAGGGCTCTTACTACAAAGACTACAGACATGGGGACGGACAGTACTGCTGGCCCACTGGACACAGGTTCATCGGCAAGTTCTACCTCAACAGAAAGGAAGGATACGGACGACAGCTGTTCCCCGATGGAGCCACATTTCAGGTAAACCGGTCGAATGGATGATGACACTGTGGACTGAACTTCCAGTAAACCTCTGCCCCTCCTCAGGGTTTGTACCACACTGACCGGAGGTTCGGTCCCGGTGTGGTTAGTTATTCAGACGGTCGGCAGGATGTGGGCCTGTGGGTCGGGCCCCGCCTCCTGAGGCTCTGCTCAGCTTTAGAGGAGGGCTTCAGTCTGAAGAACTGTCCTGAATATGCTGCCGACATGGACCCAGCCGCCGCCACTGATTCCCTGACTCAGGTACAGTTCACGCTGATTATCACAGATCCATGTTTTATAAATCATATCTGTGGATCTTTGTGTTTTAAATCTGCTTCTCTCTTCTGTTCCTCAGCCTCCAGCTCTCTGTGCCTCTCAGGTACATTTCTTCTCCAGTGAATATTCACCTGAGCTTTGCGACTTAAAGCAAATGAACTAACTCCTGTTTCTCCTCAGACACGAGCAGACAGAGAGCTGCTGCCAGATGAGAACTTTATCTATCCCCCCGGCTTGGAGAGTTACTCAACCAACGGAGACTTCCTGCCTCTGCCCGCTGGTCGAAGACGAGAGTTGGACCGGCACTTTTATGGCGAGCTGTGGGAGCCGGACATTTATCCGCACCAGGGCTATGAACGAGACCCACTGTCCAAGTGGCCGTTACAGGCCCGCATGCAGGCTCACATACACAAACACAGGTGATGATGATGATGATGGTGATCGGCAGTAGAACTTACATCTTGACTCCAAACATCAAGTGACTAACATGAAGGTTTCTATGTGTTTCTCTCAGACGACTGGCTGAAAACGTGTGCTGGGACGTAGCTGCCGTTCTCTCTCTGAGCAGGGGAGGGTTTGGTCCTAAAGGGCCTCTGGAGGAGGCCTCAGAGCAGCTGATCCGGAGCGCGTCACGAGGGGAGCGACGGGCTGTTTCCCAGATCCTCAGGACTGGTTTGGTTTACCCTGATGTAGCAGATTCACAGGGGAACACTGCACTGATGGCTGCCACAGTAAGACGGCATTCATTGTTCAGCCTTTTGTTTCTTCAGAAATAGAAAAAAAAATCAGCTGGTACCCAAACTTAAAATGTGGAGAATGTTTCCTCCTGCGCTCCTTCTCCTCACACAACATTCAAAGGTTTTCTCTATTTTGAGGCGTCTAATTCAAAGTCTCCTGTCTTCTTTGTTTCTGCCAGATAAACAACCACCATGATGTCATCCACCTGTTGTTGGATGAGGGCGTTGATATAGACAAGCTGAACTGTGACGGGATGTCGGCCCTCGCTGTGTGTCACGTCCTCTACTTCCCTCTTCACTGTCTGAACACCTCTGTGCTTGAATCACCTCAAACCCAAGTAACATTGAACCTCATGCATCTTTTAGCACCTCAACATTCTGTTAATTTACAATTTTTGTGTTTTGCACTGAAAACAAACTGAAATAAAACTCTTTGCGTTGTCCGATTTGTCGTCAGGTTTTAAAGAACCCATCTTCATGTGGGAGCTGCTCCCAGATCAGCCAAGCAGACTTCACCACGGACACACTCGAGCTTCACAACAGACCTCAGACCTCTAACACATCCCTGAGCCTCCTCTCTGACCGGTACGAGTGTAGCTGCTCTAACACTGCTCTGACACGTTATTCTGCAGAAACTCTACGTTAATATATTCCACATGTTCATAATTAAGACAAAGCAAAATGAAAATGTTCCATTTGTAGATTTGTTTTTAGTTTCATCTGATGTTTGAATTTGATTTGTTGTGGTTTCTTTTCAGGACGGCAGAAGAACCGACCGACCGCATCCCACTTCACAGCAGCAACGCGTCAAACGACAGTGAGCTGATCCCTGAGTGTCGGCCTGGTCTCAATCAACCTGAGACGCCTACAGACACTGAAGTCCCTCTGGAGGAGGACAGCAGGGAGACAGAGACAGAGGGAGACGAGAGGAAAGAATGCAGCCATATGGAGGAGGACGGGGAGAGTAAAGAGGAGGAAGGGAAGACTGAAGAAAAGGAAGTAAAAGGCCAGGAAAGAGTTGTTGGGTTGAAAGAGGAGATTGAGGAAGGCGGTGAGGAGAGACATTTTCACAAGGAGGGTGAGGAGGTGGGGGAGTGGAGAGAATGTCGAGCTGAAACAGCAGCAGACGTTCAGGTATGTAAAGTACAGAGAAACCACCCGACTGCTGTTTACCCCTTTTAAATCCAATCCAGAAATACAAATGAACAAAGTGACTCATTGCTTGTTTGAACTCACGGTCGTCCTCTCATCCGTCTGCTGCAGGACGGAGAGCTGACCCACGAGCAGACGTCTGTCTCTGCCTGCTCCGTCAGCAGCTCCACCCTCCAGGACACACAGGAGACTGCACACAAAATGGCTGCCATGAAACTTGAGTCAGTTCCCTCTCTTCCCCTGTTCTGTTCTGAAGATACTCTGCCTGTGTCTCTCTGTGTGAGTCTTATATGTTGTTTGTCCGTCTCACCAGAAGAGACGTTCGGTTGGACACCCTGAAGCTTCTGTTGGAGCGTGGATCCGACCCCAACGCATCCAAGGTGCCCATGCCTGTCCTCTTTTTAGCAATCATGGCCGCTGACAGTGAGGCCGTCAGGAGGCTGCTGCTGTGTGGAGCTCGTACCGACATTCCCCTTCCACCTGAGGTAGGAATCCATGTTTCACTTCCTCTAAAGGAAGTTAATTCAGGGCAGGTTGAGCCATGATATCTCAAACCTCTCATCCTCATTGAAGAGGAAAGGCCTTTATCCGCTGCATGTGGCTGCAGCACTGCCGGGAACTGCAGGTCCCACGATCACAGAGCTGCTGCTGTGTGCGGTCAGCGACCCCGACGCTCAGGCGTGCGACCAGGACGACGTCTATAAACCAGATAAGGTGCGTGTCTTCTGTCACTTCTCGTTCTCGCCCATCGATATAATATTTTCATTCTTGGTGTTCAGCCTTTCAGGACGGCTCAGGAAACACTGAGCACGGACGAGTGGCCGCACCTCAGAGGAGGAGGTAGAACGGCTCTGCACGTGGCGTGTCAGAGAGTCAGTGACTACAAGGTCTGAGTACTGTGCATGCACACACACACAACTACACACTCCAGCACTAATATGACATCTGCTGAAAGACGCTGCTCAGTGAGCCAGGAGTCTGAGTGTTGTTTTGAGTTTATTATGTTTATTGTGTCGTTTTGACGTCATGACTTCCAACGTGTGGAAATTAAAAAATGTGATATGAATAATAAAGTGTTTTTGCTCAGAATGCCAGTGAGGTCGTGAAACTGCTGCTCTCACACAGAGCCAGCACACGCCTCCTCTGGAGTGGACACTCCCCTCTCTCTCTGGCTATAGCAAGTGGCAATGACCAGGTGGATACCACACACACACACACACACACACATACATTGTACACACACACGTGCACAATACTTCACTGTGTCCTTGACTGTTGTTAGGCTGTGGAGGAGCTGTTGAGAGGAGGCGCAGATCCTAACATCCCTCTGGGCCGTGGGGTGGGCAGCGCCCTCTGTGCTGTCGCCAACATCAACTACCACTTGTGTGGCAACAGACCTAAACTGGTACCACACGCACACACACACACACACACACACACACACACACACACACACACTCTCTGCGTACTGAGCAAATTATTCACAATCGTACAGTTTCCGAAATCATAATCAAATAAATCTGTTCTCTGATCTCAAGCTGCTGTTGTGAGTCGTTCTCTGTGTGTTTGTCTCTGACGCAGCTGGACGTGTTAGCTGAGGCCGGTGCTGACATCTTGATGCCAGTCATGGTGGGTGACGTCGTGGGAACCGCTGTCGACTTTGCACACGACTCCTTCAACCAGGTAACGCACCCTCTGTCAGAAGACTGTGCGCTTTTAGTTTAATACAATAAACTGAATTCAAATGTTTGCATGGCAGAACACAGAGTTACCACTATATTGTGTTAAGTACACATGTACAGTATAAAAGTACTGCAATAACTCTTCCATTAGTCCTACTTTGGGATTTTAATTGATGTTAATTATTTGTCAGATCCAGTCTTTCTGTAGTTTTTGAGGCTGTACTTAGTTCTGCAGTTTTACTGTAAGTTTTATTGACATCACTGAGTTGACTCACCTCTTCTACCACATTGTATACACACAAAACGTATAAAGTAAACTGGCACAGAGTATTATTTTGTTTTTATTACTTATTTCTGAATCTGAGCAGCCGTCTTTACGTTTAATGTCATCGTCCAGGACTTACACATTGCCAACACTCCCTTTCACGCTTTGAACCTTCGGGAGAGGGAAACATTCATAGCACGGCGCCAGCTGCTGAGCATGATGGGAGATCTGCTGAGACAAACTGCTGTCCAGAGGGAGAAGGAGACTTTACAGAGAGAAACACAGCTCCCTCCAAATGGTCAGTATAATATAATTGTGTTTTTGAAGATAAGAAAATGACAAAATGCTAATTATTTTTGAGACTCTGTGTATCGCTGTGTTAATGTGAACTGTAACGTAGAGAGGTCTGTGTACACAGGGCCAGGTTCCATTTCCTCAAATGGGCCCCTCCTCAGATGTGGAGCTCTACCACACATTATTGAAAAACACAGGTACAATCAAAAGGGGCATGTTCATATTGTCCCATTTCTTTTTCTAGTAAAATAATCAGTAAGAATAAATTTCCAGAGCCTGTCAGTATCTCTTAATGTGTGAATTTCTCAAAGGAAACCTTTGTTGAAGTTCTGCTATCACTGCGGCCGCTCTGTGTCCGTGAAGCTGACGGCCTGTAGCCGCTGCCACAAGGTTTCCTACTGCTCCATGGGCTGTAAACTGAAGGGATGGGAGGAGAGACACAAGGACGAGTGTGTCAGGGCGACAGGTGGGAGTGGGAATCCCAGGAGACGCTCCGAATAACAAGAATGAATCTGGGATATTTACAGAAAATATGTTTGTTGTCTGGAAAAGTTGTTGTTGGTTGATTGTGGATGATAAATACTACGTCTGTCTGTCTCATTCCAGCTTCTGCCATTGGAACCAAGAGGAAAGATTTGTTAAAACCCCCTAAAGGCCCCGGGCCCTTGAGTGACAGGTTGAGATCCCCGGGAGTCCACAGACCATTGATAATGACAGAGAAGATCTTAGAGAGCCAAGTCAACCTGAAGGAGAACTACAGCTGCAACTGACTTCATCGAGTTGATCCTCTGTCCCATTCTGTCTTCAACTCAAATACACTCTTTATTGCTGAGGACGATATTTTGTGCCATAATAATTTCTCATCGGCATTGTTCTTTGTACTAGGTCTCACAGTAAAAGTACTTCAGTCCTCTGATATTATATTTATGACTTTAGATTCTTTATTGTTGTACTTGTTTGCTAATTTGTATAAATAGTTCTTTCTCTAATCTTTACATTTTTGTGAAATACTGAATCATTTTCCCTCTTTGTCCTGAAAAATGTTCCATGTATAAGAAGACGAATTAAAAAATATCATTTGTAAAACAGAAAATCATATATCCCCCCAAAGATAAAGAAAATGAAAACAATTTAAACAATAATAACAAACAAACAATATTAATAAAATTATTACATTTTACGATCAAAACATATTTAGGACTTACGTAAGTTTCATTGTCTTTCAGGTAAGAATCCGTAAAAAATGTGTGTATTATAATACAATATTTAAAGTTTTAAAAATTAAATCGGAAAACTGAGCATCAAACATAAAAACAGGGGAGGGGTCGCAATTTATATTAAAATTATAAACAAATTCAGTAACATCCAAATATACTCAAATGTGTAAAGTTTATACTGCAGCATTTTCTGCTTCTTCTGAAATTAATCCTGATTTCACTTGTAGAACTACATTTTAAACAACAACTTAACTTCATTGTCTTTCACAGTCCCTCATAAATACCCTCAGAAGACATTTATAGGTGTACTGTCTTTCTTAATGTACGACTGTTTCATCGTCCAGCCAGCCCCAGGCCAAGCCCACTGACAAGCCCTCTGACCCCCATCAAGGTAGGAAATATCTGGTTGTTTGGTGTTGGTACACAAGTTTACACCTCCACAAAATGTTCCTGCAGTCAATGGCAGAGTGAAGGACAGATTGTTTCAATTGTATGCACAACAAAAAAGATTTTTCTCTCGTGGTTGCTGATTTTTTTTGCTGAAGAGAGCTTGTTTGTTAATGGTTTCTGATTTCTTCTTTCATTTTCATGCGCTTGACTTTATCAGAGATTTCATATTCAGATTTATTTTACTGGCATCTGTCAGGTAGTGTATACATTAATGGTGAAACCCTGTGGTGCTGTGGTATTGGCATGACAGTGTGATATAAGGAGAATATATACATTAGCATTTTTGTCAGAGCTACAGGGCTGGATAAATCTTTTCTATCTTCCTTACCATGCTGACTAGGATAATGTGATTTAGTTTAAGCTTTAGTTTACTTTCACTGTGTTCCACCACAGACATTTAAAGCACACACCCATTAAATTAGTTGAGATCCTTTGATATCTGCCTGTGTTCCTTTGATTTGATCAGGTGCCTTTTCCTATGATGTGTCTTTTTTCCTTTGATGTGTCTTTTTTCCTATGATGTGCCAGATCCTTAATATACCCACACATTACATCTGTGTCACTACAACAGAGCTACAGAAGCATTAACTACTGACCAATGGACCCATTCGATTACATCGGTTCTGTGGCCTTGACATTTTTTCAAAGGATTACCTTCGAACAATGGCAGCTGATAAGAACGGGTGTGCCGGATGATGCCACAAACACTCTGTTAGCCAAGCTGCTATTGGAGATCATAACATGCTATTCACGTACTTTGTCCACGGATCCTGAGTCCCGCAATGCGGTCATGACAGAAGAGAATATTCTCTTCACTGTGGGCAGTCAAATCATGATGGCTTTTACAAATTTCATGACTTTTGGGGAGGTACTCCAGTGTGACAACTTGTACGTCTTGAAGGACTTGATCCTTAAAGAGATCAGGATGACTCTCCACTATCCTTTTTTCATTGTCATGAGGTGTGGAAACCCTACTTCATATGTCACACCCCCCTGCAGACTCCAAACAATGATTGACCATACCTGCAAAATATTATCTACCTTCAATTCCAAAATGGAGCTACTTAAAACACATCCACTCTCATGTCAGAGGCAAAGCGAGACTACCAATGGACATACTGGGGACACCCAGAACGTCAGATCTGTGGATCCAGGAACTGATGAAGGGGTGTCATTGGTGCACAGATTTGCTTCAGTAATTTCTGAAAAAGTAAGTAAGGAGGTGGATCATGTGGTGAATTCCAAGGATGTGGGGGATGCCGAGGATGTGCATATCTCAGAGTATGCAAAGGATATAAGAAAAGCAACTGTTGCGAAACTAGTGAGGAAGGTAATCTATAAGATATACAGGGCAGGAAAAAACCACACCGAAAACACGGAATCTGTCATTGAGTATTTCTCTGAAAAAACATGGGCTATGGTCAAAGACACCAATTTTGCTTTGAGGCGAATTCATGGACCACTTTACCGGGACATTTTTGAGGACCTGTGTGAGAACTGGGGTTCTGCAAGCATACAGCTGTATGCCATCAAAACACAGCAAAAACAATTTGTAGAGCTGTTTGTGTCCCTTATTAGAGATCACTTGACAGATCCAAATCAAAGGAGTTCCGCAATTAGGTTGTTTGTATCTGTTCGCAGAAAAATCACAAACCTGATCAAAAAAATTAACTTGCCTTGAGATCTGCCCCTGTCAACCAACTTAAGTTCTCTCAGACTACACCACTCCTCCACACCCTTTGCTTGTTACCAGTGGCTGCCCGCATCTGTTCTAAGACACTAGTACTTGTGTACCATGCTGTAAACGGATCAGGCCCAGTCTACATCCAGGACATGGTTGAACCATGTTCAGGACTTTGTTGTTGTGAATAAGTAATGTCTGTGTAGGGAACATATTTATCCATATATATTTTTGTCTGAGTATTTATTTGTTAAAATGTAAATAAAACAACCAAAACAAGAACATGTTGTGATGACGTAAACTTACTATACAATGCAACATAGTGTTTTGTATGAAAACACATAAAAAAATATAAGTATTTATACATACTGTATATATAAAATATATCATCTTGTTCTGACATATGGTATAGAAATGACAATTTAAGTATATCCCACCCCTTGAATTTAAAAGCATCAACAACATTCATTTTTGGACAAAACTCCCACAATAGCTGTTGTTTATCATATAATACTGTAATACAATTTTGAAAATAATTCCACTGATTTACTCATGGGATTTTCTATCTACCAAACTTTCTTCAATAATCGGTCTAATTTAAGAGTGCGTTATTTTGAAATGTTAAAGTGCAACAGTAATTGTAGTGATTTCAGTTTCCATTTTTACAAAAAAAGCCCTATATCCTGAGCTAGCGTAATCCCATCTCTGTGGAGCTTCAGGGCGCATATGGAGCTCTAACTTCCCCAATACCCACAGTATTGATGAACAAATGGATTGTGAATATATTTGTGAATGCTCAGAAATGCATTTCAAAGCAGCAGAAACAAAGTGAGCTGGTGTAGACTTGCACGGGATAATTAGGTGTAGAGATGGATGGATGGACGAGGTATTGAGAGAGAACTACATCCGGCCTTCTGCAAGGTTGGTCAGGAAAGAACCCATGAAAATGTTGGTGTGGATCTGATTAAATGGGCAAATCCACATTTATTTAATCTGTGGCGGTGGCAGGGGTGCATGTATTGTACATGAACAAGACTTGGTTTTAAGGTTAGAATTAGGTTTATGTTAGGGTTGCATATTGCCAATGACTGTCCTCACAACTCTATGCATCCATCTATCCATCTGTCCATCCGTCCATCCATCTATCTACCAATCTACCAATCCTTATTTCTTTTTATTCCAGTCCCAGGTCCACCCTCACTTCCTCTTAGTCTAGTTCTTCTATTTTCCCTCTTTTTCTGAATCTATGGAGAGACGCTTGTCAGTGTGTGTGTGTGCGTGTGTGTGTGTGTCTGTCAGTGTGTGTGTGTGTGTGTTTGTGTGTGTGTGTGTGTGTGTGTGTGTCTTTAAAGTGGTTGCAGCTGCAGCTCGTGATCTTACATCACACACATGAGTCAGCAGTGGGATGGGCCTCATTGTTTCCTGCAGAATAACTTGTCAGTCAAAGCTACAGGAGGAACAATCACGACCGCTCCGGACATTTAAAGACTTTGTTCAGAATCACAGGAGACACCGGGACGCACAGTGATCAGCTGACGGGGAGGTTCAGGTGAGGTTTGTCTCTGTGTGACCCGGGAGACATGAGCTCTGACCTGGAGGAGCAGGAGGACGAACTGCTCGCTCTCCTCAGCATCTTCGGAGCGGAGGAGTTTGTCCGGAACGAGTCGAGTCCCGCCGGGGAAATCCGAGTGTGTGTGGAGCTTCCTGCCGACTTCACCGTGTCTCTGACCGAAGGTAAACAAACCGATGACGTGGTTTATTCTGTCAAATGAAAGTTGTGACAAATCACAAACTCATATCCGCCAAATGTCTCTGGTCCAACTGATCAAGAAATACAAATAATATTAATAATATATAATGAGAATGGAGCTATATTCACACTGTTGTTTCTACCTGAGGTGGAACAGTGAGGCAGTATGAGCTGTCCTTCCTCCCCCCTCTGCTGCTGAACTTTGAACTCCCTGCAGATTACCCATCATCCTCCCCTCCTTCCTTCACCCTCACCTGCAGCTGGATGACACGCTCACAGGTACAGATGTGGTTCAGATAAACTTCACTGGATGACTCTGTTCAGTACTGACTCTGTCTCCCCCCCACAGCTCTCTGCACTGGGCTCTCAGCTCACTGACCTCTACCTGGCCACCGGAGGCGCTGTGGTGCTCTTCTCCTGGGCCCAGTTCCTCAGAGAGGATGCCCTCAGCTTCCTGGAGGTTCATACTCACCTGGAGCTCAACCCCGACGAACGCAGCCCTCAGCACTTTAGCCTAAACTCACACAATCAGAATAACAGAGACACGTCAGAACCAGGATCCACAGATGACCCGGGCCTTAAAGACTCAGGTGTCTCCGCTCCACATCTGGAGGGGATTCCTGCTGAGGGCCCAAAGCCTCTGACCTCAGACGGGAGCAGCACAGACTCTCAGGGAGCAGGAGCTTCGCCACAAAGTCATTCAGCCTCGGAACATGAATTCAGGGAGGAACCAGGGCCTCCTGGGGAGTCAGGGTCAACGGAAGCTGAGCAGATCCTCCAAACCTCAGAGAACGATCTGTCTTCAGTGGATAACAGAACCAAACCTCTCCCCCTGGCTGATCCTGACCACAAGAGTGAGGGTTTCTCAAAGGAAGGTGACGTTCCATCATTGCCTCCCTCTGGCTCCTCAGGTGAGTTCCATCACACTGAACGAGGAGCTTCTGCTCTGCCGCTGCACCCGAGAGAATCCTTCCAGAACAAAGAGCAGCTCCTCCCCAGGCCCTCCTCCACTCCGTCACAAACTCTGCTGTCGCAGCTCTTGATCTACGACGCTGCACAGAAACAGAGAGAGTTCTCCACCACCCTGTTCGACTGCGGTGTGTGTTTCGTGGGCTGGCTCGGGTCGGAGTGTGTGCAGCTGCCTGAGTGTGGACACATCTTCTGTCAGGTTTGTCTGTCTGAGATCTGTAAGATCCAGATAACGGAGGGGAACGTCCGGGGCGTCACCTGTCCTGAGATATCCTGCACGGCCAGTCCCACCCCTGCACAGGTACAGCCCTCACCTCATCAGTGAAACTTGAATTTTACAGAATAGCAACGTGGAAAACTGCTTCGGTAACGTGTCATTGTGTAGTTTGTCCAGCAGAGAGCGTTACAACTGCATTTCAGTTACTTATAATAAGTTTATTGCTCGATAACAGCATCTTGGGGATCATTGTCACTGGGACGGCTTCAGTCAGATTCCAGAGATGAGCTGGAGTCCACACACCAAGACTACTTCTAAAACAGGAATCTTCTGGATTTGACCTGATTTCTCTGAATGTGTCTCCGGGGACATTTTTCTGTTTTGAAGGTGAGGAGTCTTGTGGGAGAGAAACTGTTCAGCCGATACGATCTTCTCCTGCTGCAGTCGACTCTGGACCTCATGTCTGGTGAGTTACTGTGGATGAAGCTTTCCAAGTCTTGATACATCAGGATGACCAGAGAGTAAACACAAGTCATTGTTCTCGGGAGGTGGAAGATAAAAACATCATCTTCAGCACCTTCTTATGAAAAGCAAGTTATTTCAGTTGATATCGGTCTCATGTCCTTCCTCTCCTCCCCTCCTCTTCTCGTGCAGATGTGACGTACTGTCCTCGCCGCTCCTGTGGTTCGCCCGTCATTGTGGAGAAGCCCAGCTCTGCAGCACTGTGCTCTGTGTGCCGCTTCGCTTTCTGTGTCACCTGCAGAAAGACTTACCACGGAGCAGAGGACTGTCAGCCGCAGAGCAGCATGAAGAAACTGACTGAGACAGACCAGCAGGGGAGCATGGACGTGCCACAGTCTCAAGGTACACGAGGATGTGTTTGTGTTTGTGAAGCGAAGACACTGGAAGTGATGTAAGTGTTAGACTGAATGGAGTCGCTGCACAACTGTTAAATCACATGTTCTGTGAGACAAAGTTTTCATATTGGCTCATAATGGACAAT